TGAAAAATGTTTTTGTTTTGTTGTTAATATATTTAGTGCTTATAAATGTAGATTATCTAATTTCTGAAAATTGTATTGAAAAATTTGAAATTTGAAATATAAAATAAACTGAAAATAAGTGAACAATGTTAAAAAAACAGTAACAACTTACTAGATACATAATTTAAAATTATCTTTTCAGTCTCACTAAATAATACAAATGCCTAGAAAATTATCAAAATTTCATGAATTGTCTGACAGAAGTAAACGAAGGCGGGCTGATGAAGCTGGATGCTCTCACTTTTCTTATAGTGCATCTTCATCAGATGTTGAAATAACTGCAGTCTCCCCATCACCTGATATAAATGTCCAAATCCTTCCATTCATTTCAAATGACCAAATAAATATAAATTCCGATCCTTCTCATAATGATGATCAAGATCATTTCGAAAATATTAACAATGACTTTATTAGTAGTAGTTATAGTAGTTGTAGTAGTAGTGATAAAAGTATTGATGAATCTATCCATGAATCATATTTTCAAACTGGCCATGATGAAAGTGAATCTCCTACTGGCATTAAACATTTTCTTAAAAATTGGGCTATTAAACATAATGTAACAGAAGTGTGTCTTTCAGATTTATTAGTTGGCCTAAAAAGCAATGTTGATGGCTTATCTAAGTTACCGTCTGATGCTAGGACCCTGTTGAAAACAAATATAGTTTTTGAGAAAAGTATTGTGGAACCTGGTAGTTATATTCATTTTGGTTTGGAAATGCAGTTAAGACGTTTAATTTCTAATAGTCCATCAGCTAATAATATACAGGATCTAAAACTTTTACTTAATATTGATGGATTACCATTATTCAAAAGTTCAGCCGGTCAAGTGTACCCTATATTAATAGTAATAATGAATGTTCCTCAATTAAAAAATGTAGTGTTTCCTGTAGGTATTTATTATGGTATGCGAAAGCCTAATAATATGTTTGATTTTCTTAATCCATTCATTAATGAGTTGGTTGATTTAATGACAAATGGTTTAATAATTGAGCTAGGAAATAAAATATCTGTTAAACTCATTGGTATGTGTTGTGATGCACCTGCTAAAAAAGATTTATTAGGTATTAAAGGACATGGAGGCTATAATTCTTGCACTAAATGCACAGTTCATGGTAGAACAATTGAAAGAAGAAGAACTTTTGCTGACTTGGACTGTCCATTAAGAACTAATTATGATTTTATAAATTGGGTAGATGTTAATTTTAGGCAATTAGATACACCATTGGTAAGAATACCTGATTTTGATTTTGTTAAATCAATTATACTCGATTTTATGCACCTTGTATGTTTGGGTGTAATGAGAACAATGCTCTTAATTTGGTGCAATGGCGAACTTCCACACAAACTTTCACGACAATTAATTGAAAGAGTTTCAGATTTTATGAAAAACAATCGTAGAAATTTACCTGTGGAGTTTGTCAGGCAACCTAGGGAATTAAAATATTTGTTGCGATTCAAAGCAACGGAATATCGTTCTTTTTTATTATACTTGGGTCCAGTTGCTTTAAAAGGAGTTTTGAGTGATGACAAATATATTAATTTTCTTACATTACATGTAGCAATTTCAATTTTATTGAATCCTAAAAGTTGCCTGAAACCAGATTTAACAGAATACGCCAGAAAACTTCTTCGACATTTTGTCCAAAACTTTAACAACTTATATGGTGAAATGTTTATCACACACAACTTCCATGGTCTTATTCACTTAACCGATGATGTAGAATACTTTGGTACCATTTTAGACTCAATTACTCTCGATACAATTTCAGCTTTTCCATTCGAAAACTACCTACAAACTATTAAAAAAATGATTAAAGGAAATAATAAACCCCTTGAACAGATTGGAAAGCGATTAGGTCAGATATTCTCTATCCATTTACCATTTTCATCCACCGCCGATAAATCCAACTTTCCAAAATTTAAAAATGCTCATTCCAATGGGCCTCTGCCTGTTCACTGCAGTGGTCTACAATATTCTACAGTGATATTTTCCAATTTTACTATTAAAATCTTACCTCCAAATAATTGCTGTGGTACAAAAAAAGGTGATATTATAATAGTCGAAAATATTTGTTATTCTACAGAGCTAAATTGTTATGTCATTGTTGGTAGAACATTTTTAAATAAAAATGATTTCTTCAAAAAACCTTGTAAAAGCTCTTCCTTAGGTATTTTTGAAGTCCAAAAGCAATCTGTTCTCAAATGTTGGCCCATTACTGAAATAATAACCAAGTATGTTTTCTTCGAATACAAACAAAGTTATATCACTTTTCCGCTACTACATACAGCTTAAATAAATAAATACTACTCATTACATAATATTTTACGTATATATATTATATTATAAATACAAATATAATATTTGTAATGTGACTATATTAATTATTAATAGTAGTTTATGTCTTAAATTGGGGTAAATGTGTTTCACTTATTTTTCCTCAACTAAATATTATAAATTGTTAAACTAAAATAATCAATTTGTAGAATTTATGTATTTATTTTTTTTCATTTATATTATTGAGGTCTTTATAATTATATAATACAATAATAACATAAATTAAAATTTACTACTATCTATGAATATCTACAGTATTTTGTCTTTGTGTAAAGATTGAAACTTAACTAGTTCAATATTGTCCTTCAATTGTCCTTAGTATTCTTAAACCTTTTCCCTTTTTATGACTGTTATGTTATTTAGTTTATTCAGAATGTGGATATTAATACACTTAATTGATGATGGAGAAAAAGTGCCAGACGTCATTCCGAACACATGGGCAATTGATCAATCAATCTGCTGGTATCCAAAAAACTTAAAATCAAATGTTATAAATTCCTTAGCTCGGAAGCAAAGTATGCCAGACCATAGTAGTGATGACTGGGAATATTGTTCTATGCAAATTATAGAGACCAATATAAGTGAGTAATATACCATTTAATATAATATCATATATCAGTATAGGTACCTAATATATTATATTATTTATTTTAAATTATACATATAATGACTTCAAATTATTAGGAAATAAATTAAAAATTTCCTTTATTGGATTAAGTTTTTTCTCTCTGGGTTTTTAGTTATGTACCTATATAATAAAATATATAAATTATAGGTGATTTTCAAATTGGTCTTAAAATGATGGTGAAGTTGGCTAAAAACGCTCAAAATTTACATTCCGATTATGAGCAGCGGGGACGAGGAAAAAGAACCAAGTGTTTGTCATCAAAGCGTTTATTCGATAACTTAGATAGTGATTGTTCTGTTGATGAAGATTTCGAAGCATTATTAAATAGTAATAAAAAAAAGTCAAAGACACACAACTTATCCGTATCATTTCCTGATTTCCCTTCAATCGTAAAAGGTGATAAAATGCAATAACTAGTTTGACTCTCAGATGACATGATTAAAATGTTGAGTTATGTAAAGTATATATTTTTTATAATATTATAATTTCTACAGATAATACTAGTGATGACACTCGTCCAAGCACTTCTAATTGTACACCAGCAAGTAAAATTATATCGTCAAGTCATGATAATATGTATAACAATGATGAAACTTCAATAGCATCTACTCCAACATATTCTACAAGTAAGTGAGATGTTAAAATATTTTTATTATTTTATTCTGTAGTTATAATATTATTGTTTTATTATATGACTTAAAATATTTTTCAGGCAATATATCTACATCAAATGCTTATCAATGTAAAATAGCAAAGAAATCACATTCTTGTACTTTTCAGAATGGTATTGTTAATGACCAAGAAACCCTGCTATTTGCTATGGCCCATCAATTATGTAAATTATCTGGTAAGTATTAAAAAAGAGTTAAATTAACCATATTGCATATTAATTAAATATTTTTATTTTTAATATAGCCGAAAATAAGAAAATAACTTCAAACATGTTTTACATTAAACAAGAATTAAATTCATTTATTGAGAATAAAAAATCGAGCCATTGCGAAGAGCATGAGCCAACTAGTTCCAGTGCAATTAATGAAAATGTACTTTCACCATTCCCCTTGAAAAATGAAGATGAACTTATGTTAATTGAATCAAAATTATTGTCTGAAGATTTATCATTCACTAATAAATTGGTATGTACTTGTAAATAAAATTTTAAATTACTTGTTGTTAATTTCAATCAATATTATATGATCTCCGTATAATCTAATAATAAGTATAAAATTTGGTTTTTTTCAAATTTTTCTTTGACCAATTAAACCCTTAACTTGAAACATTTTTATAGTTAACTAAACAAAAATAATCATTTATGTATTACAAAATGTAACATTTCCTCTATAATTATTTTATACATTTACATATTTTATAGGTAACTTCATTTGTATTTGCCTCGGAAGGAAAATCAATACAAAAAGTCACAACGAATATGCTGAAAACCATATTTTCTTATGAGCTAGCTTCCGAATATAGTTGGAAAGGCCAGAAAAACAAAAAAAAATTACATACTTTGAACATTTTTAAAGTTATTATAGGTAAATATAAATTAATTTCGTTTAGCGTTCATAAGATGTTTAATTTTTCATATTTATAAATAATTTTTTTAATTTTTTGTTGTTTTTATTAATTAAAGATCTAGAAAAACCATTATTTAAAATGTATAAATCTGAATCAATATTATATTATAATATTATTTCCAGCTTATAACTAACACTTACATTTTTGTTTTATTTAAAAATAATTAAAATATACAAAAGTTTCTTCAAACTTAAAACTCAAATAGATTTAAGTATTAATTTACCACATAGTTTCATACCACTAAATTATTTTTCTTATTTTTTTTAAAAAAATACACTTATGGGATAAATATTTTAACTAATTTATTTTATTAGATGCAGTCTGCATGAAGTTTCCCAAAGAAATTAGTGTTAAATGTACTGTTATTCAATCAATTCAAACATGGTTTGCAAGAGCGCCCTATCAGTAAGTGTTTTTATATTATCATTATAATATATACAGTAGTAAAGCCTCCATGAAAAGACACACTCTAAAACGGAAACTATATTATAATAGAAAATATCTATGACACTCTATATATACATATTACATATTATATTTAAATGATTCCTTACACTATTATGATATCACGTTAATCTATGACCATTGACCAACTATATAAACTGAACAAGGGATATATATATGAACAATTAATAACTGGTAACACAATCTGAATTTCATTA